TTGAACAATATTTCAAAAATAACGGAAGTTTGGCGGCAATAGTTCGTAAATTTCGTACAAAATATATTGATTTAGCCAAGTCCGCTGTGAATAACTAAGAGATTTTCAGGAAGACTAAATCATGATGATGATGATAAACACTCTGGTCGTCCAAAAACGAGCCGCTCGTATCTCGGTATGGAAGCAGTGCGTGAGAGTGTTGATGGAAGTCGAGAAACATCAATTTGGTGTCGTGGCCAAGAATTGCAAATTTCAAGAGCTCGTTACACCGAAACTTGTTTGTCTCTCCATCTACTACTGCGCGCCGTTTTTTCAATTGAAATAGGGGATTGTGTGATAACTGCTTTATAAACTCCAGAGTACAAAATCATCTTTCAAAATGGCGATCTGACAGACTGTCAAGTTTTTGTACATTGAGTCGCTTATAACTCAACAACTAATCGTGAATGCGTTATATCAATATTTTTTTACACCGAAGCAGCCGCGCAGCAGAAGCCTAAATGCCAGGACACCGCGGTTGTTATGAGGATCCCAAAGAAACTTTGTTAATCCGATTTTTGAACTGCCTCCTCTTGTAGATTGTTCCATAATCTCGGCACTCTAGTGTCAAAGGAGCGGTCGTATCGGCCAGTTCTGGATGTAAGAAGTTCGACACGGTTAGGATGGGAGGCCAAAGTCAGAGAGGTCTGTCTGGAAGGCACATTGCGCAGCGGCATCATGCGTTGATTTTGCGAAGTTAGGTTATTTCACTGATTATTTTTATTTTCATTTTATTTCATGGTTTTGAGTAATAATAATTTTAGCGGGAAGTTTTTGTTTTGAAAAAAACAGTTATGATTAGAATACAGAAACACCATCAAAGTCCAAAGTATTATTCGAAAACAACCTAACCTGCTTTAACATAACCCAACTATTCATCTTTCAACTATGATCGATCATACAACATGGAAACATCGTCTATCTTTGTCGGATATATGCACATTAGCAATATAGTTTGTTTAGACAATAAAATTCTGTTTGACTCTGCCTAGCATATCTGAAACTTCATTAAAAATATTCACTAATCGTTGTCGTTTGTCTTTACTACAGATTAAAATGCTGACGTAATCGTCATCTTTCATGATTTCGACTATAGTTGCGCATTCACTTTTTATCCATTCTGGAAATTGCATATACAAACTTGCTGAATTCAAAAATGAGAGAGATAAGAAATAATTATATTCACTGTACACTGTTGAATTACAAGCCATATACATGCTAACAGTAATTACACACAACGCGGGCACAGTGATGATTTCTCGCAATTCGCCTCAGTTTTTCGTAATTTATAGCTTTGAACATAACCTCTCTTCAGAAAGCACAACATTTGGTCTCACAAAACATATGCAACCAATAATGCGTTTAGTTTAGTTGAGTGATTCCTCCTTAGATGGACGTTCACAACGATTCTAGTGAGCAAACGTGGAATGACTGATTGCGCCCTAAAAACTATCTAGTTTGCAAGATGACATCTTATAGGTTTTTTTTGACGTTTTATAGGTTTTTTACATGATACCTAAGCGGTTGTCTTGTGGCCAGAGAGAAAGTCAGTCACTGATTTGCAAAGCTTCTCTGGGAGGCCATAGGATGGAAGATTGCATAAGAGGGCAGCGTGCTACAGCTGATCGAACACTTTCGTGATATCGAGAATAACGACATGAGCCTCACCATAAGACTGGATGAGTTACTCCACAATTGCGTGACGTAAGGTAGGAGGTCCCCTGTGGATCGCTGGTGCTGGTCGCTAATCAAGCCGTGTCGTTCGAAGTAATCCAAAAGTTCGCGATTTATGCACCTCTATCACCTTACTTAAACAGAAAGCAGAGCTAGAGGTTTGTAGTTGTAAGGGTCAGTCCAAGACTTTTTTAGATGATGGCCTGGACATGAGCAAATTTCCAGTTTTCTGAGAAGATGCCGGATCCGTAAGATATCTGGAAGAGACGCGGAAGAACTGGAGCAAGCTCCGCTGCACACTTTAATGCAATGGCAGGAATCAAGTCCGGACTAGAAGCTTTGTTGATGTCGAGCGTCAAGAGCACCAGTCTTGCGCCTGAATGTTATACTTTCCGCAATAGTGTAGGGAACCCTTTGAATCGACGGCACGGGTGTGAGGGGCATCCATGATGGGGTTGGCAGACTTCCGCCTTAGCCTTTGAGTCGGTTACAATCGTTCCATCCTAACACGTAAGTGGTGGAGGGCTACTCTGTGAGGTTCCTTTCGATCTGCTTGGCCTGCTTCCAGAAAAACCGACTGCCATTGCACTGTGACATAAGCCTGTGCCTAACTTTTATATTGTGCGGGTCTATGGCATTGCGAACCACTTCGTTATATTTGTTTCTGCACTCGACGTCGGCTTGTCTGTTCTCTACAGTGGGTTTTTGCAAGAAAATTCTGTTGAAAGATTTATTGAACCTGCCGTTGGACCCTGGTTTAGGTACTTTATATGAGGGATATATTCCTCCATCCCAACGTTTTGGTTAACGATGCATCCACGTCAGCGTAACAAACGTCTATCCACAGCGTGGCCAGAGTGAGATCCAGCAGGCTACTTGTTTGTGTCGAAACGCGGTGAAAAAGGTAGGACCCGTCACCAGCTGGGTTAGTCCTTGGGTAAAAGCGAACGCTCCAAATGCACGGTCTGCTGCATCGATCTTGTTTGAGCCCAACCACAGCTGATTATGGGCATTGAAATGACCGAGGACAACTATCTCTGAAGCGGGGTGATTTATATGGGCGAAGCCTCAAAATGTCCAGGTCTGATTCCAAAGAAATATCTCGGGAGCAGGAAAGACTACTGCGGACGAAAGCCATAACTAACCCGTTCTTTCTCAGATTGTAATGCACCTGAAAATTTGGGAAGCTAAGATGATTAAGCTGTGCAGAGTCTGAGATTTTTGTCTCTGCCAAGAAAACCTTGGCGGGATGATTAGATTGCAGGTAGTGATGAACACCATCAATGTTGCTGATAATCCCGTTATACAGGGTGTGAACGTTATGGTAGTCATTATTGAAATGGCTAATAGGGGGGGGGGTCAAAACAAGTCAAAAAGTTCATATGACCCATGGTCCAAAAGTCAATAGATTTTTGTCTAAATGGCTTTATAGTTTACAACTTTAAGTGCTTTATATCGACCACAATCTTAATAATTTGTATAATCTAATCTAAAACGTTTTTAAATTGGGTAATTAACAACTAAATGGCATTACGTTTTTCTAAGTTAAGTCAAAATTTGTAGTCAGTAACTTTCATTAAATTAAATACTTGAAACACAATGTCAACAGCGCGTCGGTCTTTCATCACTCTTATCGAACCGGCAATCGATCGCAAACAGTGGTTAGTTATCGTTTTGCATACTTAAATTACTTTATCGTCTTGTCGAGCAGAGCATCGGGCGTGTTGTTTAGTTTTTGTTCGCGTACGTTGTCGAGTTTATTTACAATGTTCTCGAATCAAGAGTTCGCCGACATGTTGTTAGTTTACGGTGAAGCTCGTCAGAATTCAAATCTTGCAGCTCAAATTTATCGCGACAGATTTCGCCAACGGGTACACCCAGACAGAAGGACATTTATGCAAGTGTACCAAAGACTTCGAGATTCAGGAAGTGTTCAGCCTGCTAATATTCGCACTCGTGAAAGACAGGTTACTGTAGAGCAGAAGGAACAAATTTTAAATATCGTGGAAATCAATGCAGATATCAGCACTCGGGAATTAGGCCGCCGCGTAGGACTATCGCATACCATAGAATCCTACGGGAACATTTGCTTTATCCCTACCATGTACGAGTGCAGGCCTTGTTACCCGAAAACTATCCTCGCAGACTAACATTCTGTCAGTGGTTTTTGCACAAAAGCATTGAAAATCCGGATTTTTTTAAAAACGACGGACGAATGTACTTTTACGCGAGACGGGATACTAAATTTCCATAATACTCACACGTGGGCTCAAGAAAATCCTCATACTATTCGTGAAGGTCATTTCCAACGTTTTAAAATAAATATTTGGGCGGGTCTTCTTGACGATCAGGTAATTGGCCCTTTCGAGTTACCCCCCAAGGTTGTCAGGAGAAGGATATCTTAGCTTTCTAGCCAATAACCTACCAGAACTTTTGGAACAGACCTTAGACAACATGCCATTACAACGGAGATAGAATTTGTGGTTTCTTCATGACGGGACACCACCACACATTTTATTTTTAGAGGCGTCATTCAGTATTTGAATGAACATTATCCAAATCGCTAGATCGGTCGAAATGCTCCTGATCCTCGAAAATGGCCAGCAAGATCTCCCGACCTCAGTCCGATGAATTTCTGGTATTGGGGAGAACTTAAATGGATGGTTTGTGGGGCTGGTCCAATAACAACTGAAGGACAACTTCGCGAAAAAAAAAATTAATGCGGCTTAAATAATAAATGGACCACTTCGAAGACCTAGAGCCTAGAGTAAGAAGAAACTGGGTTCGTCGTAATGAAGTTTGTGTTGAAAGTGGAGGACGAAATTTTGAACAACTTCTTTATATACAAAAAAAGTGCAGTGTGGGTTTCAAAAAGAAAAACAATGTATGTATCAGAATTGTGTACCCTATTTATAAGTGGATTTTTATAATACGTTCAATAAACTTTCACGCACCAAGTGAAGCGCTGAGAAAGTTAGTGGTAAGTCCGTTTTTTTAATTGTTTGCATTTTACGAGTACATTATCAAATAATGAAATAATACCTAAGAGCCAAAAATAACCAACTCCATCTTTATTTACACTGCGTTGTCAGATTTTATTTTAAAGTCGCTTTTCTCTAAAAAAAATGCCGTTTTGACCCCCATGTTATATGAAACTTTTTGCTTCTTTTAACCCCCTTTATCACCCATTTAAATAATGACTACCATAACGTTTACACTCTGTATAATATTCGATTCCAAATGCTACATGTGGGTCAGAATAAATAAAATGCGTAAATTTTGGAACACCCTTTATACGGTATTAAGTCGATATCTTATTTGAAAGACTGTGTGGAATATAACATGGTGGAGTTTCGAGGACATCAGTAGATCTCGGCTGCGACTGCCAACAATCGATGCCAAATTGCACCAACAAAAAATTTGCTTTTATTGTGTGCTTTGTATACTTCTTCTGAAACGACATTGAGGAGGCCATTATGATGACAGTAGGGTTATCAGTCACTAAAATAATAATAATAAACATCTTTGAAATCATGCGACCTTTTCATGTGTTTGGAAAAAACCTACATAATTAAAAAACGTTTATTAAAAAATTAAAAATTATTCAGGATAGAAAGATAATTCCCATATTAAACTCAATGCTTCCTTATGAAGTAGCTCCGTCCGTTGGGATTCATTACACTTGTTTGGATGGGCGAGTGCAGACACCACTCATACCACACTTTCTCTTCATTATCCACCCTCCAGAAAGACACCTCGATAATTCCATCCTCTCCAATGTGAACCGGCTCTTGGAGAGGAAATACGATTGGAAACCAGCTGACCATGTCTGGAGTATGTGTCTCTGGATGGATGCTCAGCATTACGTCTTTGTAGAGGACTGTGTCGAAATAGCCTACAAAGCCCGTAAGCACGCAGGGCTGCTCGCATCGGAAGCGGAGTTTCTTATACCTGCAACAAATACAAGGTTAAACCACTTGGTCGGTACTGTCGTAGTAAAAATGGTTTACTTTTACAGGGTGTTTCAGAACTAAGGGATCAAACTTCTAGGGGTTATTCAGTGTAATAGTAGGAAACATTTGAGTATAGGGACCCATATCCGGAAAAGTGTCACCACGGCACTACGACCCTAAGACGCGTCAAAATTTAGAAAGACGATGAATTGCCTAAATAGGATTTAATGCATTTAATTTTTGCCTTTTGTAAATGATATCATCACAACAATTGTTCAAAATGTCTTCCTCCACCGATTTAAACGTCGCACATGATTTCGGCGGAATTGACTAAAAATTTTATACTCGTTTTGAATGATTTCAAATGCTGCTGTAATTCGTCCAATTAAGTCTTGCTCTGTTTCTACTGGAGTTGGGCGTTCCCGAAATGACTGCCTGTGAACAAAATGATACTCTAATTTGTTTAAAAAGCATACCTATACCAAACTTTAGTTTTAGGTATCTATTTAGTACAAGTAACATGGAAAACAATAAAAATGAGAAGAAAAATAATTCGAAAAAACGATTAAAACAGAAAAGTATAGCTTATAAAAGGCATCGTGAAAATGCTAATGCAAGGAAAAGCAAGTTTTTAGATAACATGACACCTGAACAAAAAGAGATGAAAAGACTGAAAGATAGGGAATATAACCAAAGAAAGAAAGCTGAGAAGAAAGTTAAGACTGGTAGTGAATAAGAACTTGGAGGCAAAAAGAGAACTGAAAGATAATTTAAAAGAAACTGAGATAATGATTCAGATTATATGACAAAAGATGGAAAAGAGACTCGGTCAATTACAAACACTGTGAGTAATAATTTAGACCATCAGGTTCATGCTGTATGGGGTCACCTGAAATCAACGTTACAGAAAATATTAAGAACCAGGCCTCACGTAAATACCCTTCACGTTTTTTCAGAGGGACCCACATCCCAGTATCGAAACCGCAGTAATATTTACTTATGGATTAAAACCTTAATAGAGCAGTTTCCGTAAATAACTGCTTCAACGTGGACATTCACTGAATCAGGTCATGATAAGGGGCCAATGGATGGCGTAGGAGGAGTGCTAAGAAAACCGCTGATGCCCAAGTATTACGAGGAAACGATGTCAATACAGCTGCAAATTTGTGCGTTTACTAACAAATTCAACTACAAACATAATACCTGAAAACATAGATGCTATTCCCGAAACCATGAATGTAACAAATACTGTTTGGCAGAATGCTTCTGATGTGTCCATAACACTGTATCAATTTTCAAAACTATTGCTAGAAATTAAACTGCTGTCATTTAGAGTTGAAGATACGAGTAGAGGAATATTTTCAAGTCAAGCGCCGTCAGAAATGATAGATTTAAAAATACATAGAGAGTTTCTGCGTCTTATTCATATAGAGAAAGCATTTACATCGCCGTATACGGTTCAGACACTTCAGATGACGAGAATCTCCAAACGATTTCAGATCGGCTTCATGAAAAGAATGACGATATTGATGCTGGTACATCGTACGGAGAAGACAAGGAGCTGCTCCCTAACGCCACCTATTGTTTGTTGTTTTAATTACATCGACGAACGCCAACCGCGTTCACGGAGTGATTTGATAAATGTCAGACAGCAGTTGAATAGCCAAAATATGAAGAAATTAAAATGATATGAATTTAATTTATTATTATTCTTAATTTAATGATTTTCAAAGCTAATATAAAAATATGACAGTTTTAGTTCGTAACTGTAATCATTTTTGACTTGTCTGAACTATGACAGATGGTATAAGGACGCGTTCCCGAAATTACTACTTTGGCCTGTTTTTGTTTAAAATCAAGTAAACATTATTATAAAAAATAAATATGCTAAGTTCCTTGTAATTATGCACAGTACCTACATTTTGAAATGATTAATGTAGTGATATTATGTTATTTTATTAGGAAAAACCATGTCAGAAGCATAATGCTCACCTCTCTGATTTTGACCCATATACACCACGCACGAAATAAACGATAATTCGCTGCAGCGCTGATATGGAAAGGGACAACGTTGCCAGGTGGACAGTAACAATAGGAAAGGATGTCTATGGACTAAATGTATGGACCTTGTTTGACTTGGATAATGCGTTCAATTTCGCTGTTGCACGTGTTCGATAATTTGAAATGATCCGACCTTAATCCTTTGAGAATTGATAATGGGGTTGTGTAGGAAGTGCAGGGTCAACCTACTTGACGCCATTTTTTGAGAATATTTATACGCTCTCAACCTCAGTAATTCCATGCACTTGTTAGACATATTTCGCGTCCTTGCTTCGGCTCTTTGCATTCACTGGTGGGCGTGCCAGGTATGATGAGAGGCGACGTTGCTAGATGGATGGTACTACCGATAGCAGAGCAGTCGCAACCTACTTGACGCCATTTTTTTTAATAATAAAACCTTAATGAGTACAACATGCAATATACAGTTGGAAACAATAACAGTGAGTTTCTCACCTTTGATTGTTAATATTCTCGCTCCAATTCGGATGATTGAACCTGAACAGTGGTTGAGGCTCTGCTATTTGGTAGAAATTCGCTAGATGAGCGATGTATGGAGTTTCAAAAGATTGTTGCAGAGTCTTGTCTGCCGTTCTGTTCACTTTGATTTCATTGTGCATTTTCAAACTTTGCAATGGTGCTAAATATGATGTGTAAGATTGAGGAATGCATATGCCAGTCTTCTTCAAAAATCTGGAAACATCAAATGAAGGGATTCGTGAAGTTACCAACAGCATCAAAGATACAGTTAATGAATATATGGGTATTTCTCAGCAAATTTCGAAATTCATGTCCTGAGCCATTGATGCTAAGTTGCATGGATTTATCGTCATTTTAACAATTTTATTATATCAATAAGTATCAACACTAATATTTTAAAAGAAAAAATCTAGATAATATATTGATAAAAAAACGATTAATTTAATAATCTAAAAGTCATTCCATCATCTCGTCCCTGGGTCTGAAATTCATAATAAAATAAATATACAATCAAAACTGTTCATATTCTTATAAATTGAATATCACTAAAATATTTGGTAATAAGTATGGTCAAGCATTCATTGCTAAAAAATAATTTAAACTATATCCCTTGATTTCAATAATTGGAACATTACATTTGTCTGTGTCATTACCTCACTGTTTATATTAAAAGGTAAGTCATTATATCGTTCGAATGTTTTAATGATTTTTTCATTGTTTTGAGGAGTAAAATGCATTCACAAAATGCTGAATCAATTTGAGGTGATGTTACGGTGTCATTTATGCAAATCCGTCATTCCCTCACTAGATTAGGAAGTGAGGCAATGAAAATTATATGAGGAAATGATTTTTGCATATATAAAATTTTGGTTTGGGTGTTATTGTTTAACTCCAGGTTGTATAGCATGTGTTTTCAATTGTAACAGATATCCGTATATCAAGAATGGAGAAAATCAAGAGGTTAAGTGAAGAAGAAAAGAAATTAAAAAAGAAGGATGACGACAGAAAGAGGCGAGAACAAATGAAAACTAAAACGAGTAACATTACAAACAAATTTACAGAGAACAGTTGACGAAACACCCCCACCAAGTCCTGCAACATCTTTACAGCACAGAGTAGAGAATTTGTCTGATCTCAATAGACGTAGAATGCGCAAGCGGTGAACTATTCTGTACGCGAAGATTAAAAGTTTGTAAAATAAAGTAAGGAACGCAGTCAAGCTTAGCGAAAAATATAAGACGAGGTGTTTGAGACTGAAAACTAAAAATACTGCCCCTGACTCTCCAGCAACTCAAGTGTCTTCGCTTTTAAAGAATGTACAAGTTCCTAACGTTGAAAGAAAAAGACTCATTTTCGGAGAAGCACTGTCAACGGACCTCAAGAATATCTATGAAAATCTTGGAAGTAAACATGGAGAAAAGAAAAAATATTACAAAATCTTGAAGCTGCAATTAGTACAAAAGATACAAAGTGCTATATAGATCGAATCATTTTTCAAAAACGATACGTACAAAAAGAACTGTACTCGTAAAGTTAGTTCCAAACTGCTGAATGTTAAGGGTGATGTTGTTCATTTCTTAGAAAAGGATAAAAATACGAGGATATGCCCAGCGAAGAAGGATTATCTAAGCTCTCTAAGTATATATATATACATATATATATACATTGTGTTGTCTGTCATTTCTTACTCTCTTGTTCTTTATTACCCATGCTTAGACTATCCAGACAATTCAGAACAGCTGTTGTAGGTTTATTTTTGGATTGCGCAAGTTTAGTCGCGTCTCAGATAAAATCAAAGAACTCAACTGGTTGCGAATTAATAAGTTATTTTTATATCTTTTGATCGTCTTCACGCATAAAGTTCCATTATCTAACAGACCAGCTTACCTTGCTAGCAAATTAGTTCCCCGTGGTAGTTTTGTTACCAGAGCTCTTAGATTTAATGCTAATTTTAACATGCCTCCTCACAATCTTTGAAAGAGGTTACACCTATAACGATCGGGTTGATCATGGTCTGTTGGTGAACAAGTTGGGTAAATCTGGGTTCTCAAAAAGTGCATGTGAGCTTATGGTATCATACCTAACCTTAAGGACACAGCAGATTAAAGTTGGTAAGCATTTATCAAAGATGACCATAATAACATCTGGGGCAGTAATCTCGGGCCTCTATTATTCATAATTTTTCTGAATGATTTTCCAAACTGTGTAAAATATGGCAAATGTCTCATATTTGCTGATGATTTTAAAATATACAAGCATATGCCTTGCCTTCAAGATTGTATTGAGATGCAAACTGATTTAAGTTCAGTGTCCCAGTGGTTCAAGGAGAATAAAATGTCGTTGAATATTGCCAAATGTCATAGTTTAACTTTTAAACGAAAAGCACAATTTATAGATTTTAATTACAAAATTGATAACTTATTCTTAAGTAGGAAAAGTGAATGTAAGGATCTTGGGGTCTGCTTTCAGACTAACCTAAAATGTAATCAGCATTATGAAACTATTGTAAACAAAGCATATAGGATCCTGGGTTTTGTGATAAGGCATACAGAACACTCTAAGGAAAATAAGTCTATAATAATTGTGTACAACTCACTGGTCCGACCTGTTCTGGAGTATGCCTCTGTTGTCTGGGCACCCAAAACAATGGTGCATGTTGATATGATCGAACGGGTATAAAAAAGATTTTTAAGATATCTGTACTTAAGGACACACAATGCTTATCCATACATGATCTCTTATAATAGTATGCTAACAGAATTTAAAATTGTGCGGTTGAGCGTTAGGCGTGGTTTGAATGATATCTTGTTCATTTATTACATAATTAATAATTTAAAATATAAGAAGTGCTCCCTAATAAATAATATATTCTTTGCTGTTCGTAGAATCAACTTGAGAATAAGAGGCAACAAACTCTTTCACTGTTCACCTGTAAGTTGTTCTTCTATCAATAGAATGATGTATGAGTGTAATAGTTATATACAAAATTGTGATGTGGATCTCCTTTCGACTACTGTGAGGCAAATTAAGACTTATCTCATTTTATTTGTTAGTTAATTTTTATAGTTTTTCTCTGTCGTTATTTTTTAGTTATAAGTTTTTGTGTATTCTCTGTTTCTCTACTAGCCAGTAAGTACTCCTACATGTAACTACATTCAAATATGTTTGTAAGCGTTAAAATAAATAAATAAATAATGCTGTCAAGCATTACAATGTAGTCAACAGTGGCTATCGATCCAAATAGGTTGCTTCTTTTAAGAAATTAATGAAAAGTCAGCTGCTGGAGTCCATTTAGTTCAGTTTTTCTTCTGTTCATGTGCTTTTTTTACTATTTTCTACTATTTTTGTTTCAAATTTAAAACTCTCACAATACTATCTGCATTTGTCTCGTGCAGTCAATGTTGTCATGCTTATGAACTGTATTTTTTTTGTATGTTATTATTTTGTTTATGTGTTTAAGTATTCTTTTTTTTCTGTTGTGGGGTTGAGTGTAAGAGTAGCCGTCTGGCTAAACTTCGCCTCACTGCAGCTAATAAAGGCATTATTATTATTATTATTATAAAACAAATCCCAATACATCTATTAATAAATTAACTTAAGTTTTTTTATTGAAATTCAGCATCAAATTGTTGTAAAAATCATTCCCCCATCCTATCAGTCATTCCCTCATTTCATAGTTTTTTAAGTCATTTTTCTACATGTTATACACAAAAATTTGGAGGACCTGCATTTTCAATGAACCTCACTAAAGTAAAACTTTATACTTCTACAAAAAACGATATATCTTCATTATTTTTTTTCAAGAAATGCAAAATGAAATTTCTAAATTTGTTGAGAAATATCCATATGTCGGATCGATTCTACATAGATTACATGATTTTGCCTTCTTAACTTATCAGATGAACTCGGAGTTCAATCACAAATATCGCATAGCTTAACGTTAATTTAACCTCAGTAAACTTGATATAAATAAATCAATCAATATTATCTATTTCAAAATTGTATCAAACTCTGTAAAATCAAATCTCCCCTGAATGCTCCCAAATCATCAAACAACCGTTAAATTAACATTATATCTAATACATCAATGAGTAAAATATTATTTTTCACCTTTGTGCACCATCTAGACATTCAGGTGATAATTCGTTATCACCAAATGATCCTAACAATTCCGACACTAGAATATCAGCCTTCTCTGGAGGTTCATATATCCTCATGTCTTCACTAACAAGTGTTACCTGGTTGTTCCATTCGTTTTTCACACGATCGAGCAAGGTGTTGATAGCAAAAGGATTCTTTTCAACCGCATATATTTTAACTTTCCTGAAAGCAATCAACGTGTCAAAACTGCTACCTACGATGAAGGTGGGTAGATATTATTGGAAAAAGATCAAGTGAATCTATACCCCACTAACCTAAACGTTCTAAATAAAAACAAACAATGAAATGTCTAGTCAATACTTTTCAAATCAACTGAATTTTTTTTCAAGGTTTTCTTCTACTAATGGATAATGCTAAATGTCTGCTTCACCACCTTGGAGCTACATTGTTGTGTCTTTCATTGCTTTCTAACATTTCAATCTAATATTGACCAATTTCAAGAAGTCTGATTAACTTAAAAATTTGCACAGAGGTCAAAAGCCGATCACAATACATTAATCTTGGAAAAATAATAATTGAGTGATTTCTTAATAACTTAATTTTGATGTTGTTCTCTTTCCAAATTAATTAGTCATACTTGATTTTTGGACTTCCTATTGCAGTAACACAAACTTCCCTATACTTAGAAATTATTTTCTATTTTTTAATTCGATTTATTTTTTTAAACTATAATTTATTCACGAGACAAACTGCTTAGTGCCCTTTTGAAACATCAAAGTAATAGTTTTCTAGCGTCGGCACCGAGGCCGGTGAGAAACCCACATACAAAACACGGGTCCAGTGCCTCAGAGAAAAGCAAATATTTTCTCTCAACTTCTGCTGGATCATACGTAATGGATTAAGAAATATCATAGATATAGTGATAGATATCATAAGGGGGGTGTCTGTCTAGACCAAGATCTGTTTGCTACATTTCTGGCGGGCGAGGTGGCTTGAGTGCCAAACTCATTCTTGTTTGGCTTTAAAAGTGTAAAGGCGGGACTAGACGGTAGCAAATTCTTGCTAAAATGTAAGGACACTGTCGATTTATCTATGTTTAGGTAGAACATCTGACAGAAATAATCTAAGATGGCAGTTTTATTAAGACTCCACATTTTGGGGTGGCAAAGGACGTAAGGGAATGGCAATAGGACAGTTGTTATTTATTTCCAGTAAGTATCTTTTGCGATACGATTTATTCACGATCGCGATTTTCCTCATATGATCTATCCCGATTTTGGGACACCCCTTCGAAAATGACTTCTTTTTTGTTCGATTTTCTATAGATGTTTTTAAACTATAATTTATTCACGAGACAAAAACCTAAGTGCCCTTTTGATACATCAAAGTACTAGTTTTCTAGCGTCGGCACCAAGGCCTGCGAGGACTCCAAATCCAAAACACGGCTCCACTTCTCCTGAAAAGAGTGTGTGGTGTGCTCAATCATATGTAATGAGTTTAGCAATATCACCGATATTGTGACAGATACCGTAAGGGGGATCTGTCAGCGAATTTGGTTCTCCAACGGTTGGAACTATTGATTTACAACACACATCACAAATACCACCTAAATATTTCTTCACGGTAGATAACCCTTACTTGTTTAGAGTGTAGGCAACATTAACAACAGCCTGGACTAAGGGTCCCCTGCCTGCACCCACTACCATCACAACAGGCGGTTCATCTCCAGATTCCCCACCACTGCAATAAGCAATGGCTTTGTACATTGCGTTTTGGTACGTATCATATTTCACCTAAAATTGAAATGATCTGATTAGATCCTACAATACATATATCATGAAAACTAACTTGATCTTTTTCGAACGTCTCATAAATATTTGTTTCCAAATGTTCTGTAAGAGGCTGTAAAGGGTTCTGCAAGAAATCTTCAAAACCATGTACAAATTCATTCATTACGTCGTGAACGTAAAGCTTTTTCCCCAGAAATTGTAAGTACCTGAAAATGTAACAGCAGCTTTATGAGTAACTTTGTTACCAACACTATTAAGAGATTTAAAGTTTTTTACTTTAAACGACTTTTACATATAATCCAACATTTACATTAAATTAAACTTGTACTTTATTTTGAACAGGCTCTATTGATTTGTTCTTTTACTGAATGCTAATCAATATAGCATGATAATATATTTCAAGAAGGGATGTTATACCACCTTTCATCAAGTACTATACAGGGTGTTTCAGAACTAAGGGATCAAACTTCTAGTTCTTATTCAGTGTAACAGTGTAACATGCATTTAATTGTTGCCTTTTGAACAGGATATCATCACAACAATTGTTCAAAATGTCTTCCTCCAACCTGAATACACCGATTTAAACGACGAACATGACTAACAATTTGATACTCGTTTTAAATGAGTTCAAATGCTGCTGTAATTCGTTCAATTAAGTCTTGCTCTGTTTCTAAACCAAAGACTTTACATGTCCCCACACGAAAAAATCTAGCGACGTTAAATCGGGTGACCTAGGAGGCCAAGAAACTGCTCCACCTCTGGCAATCCAACGGTGCCCAAACCGCTGAGCCAAATACTCACGTACTTCTACAGCAAAGTGAGCTGGCGTTCCATCATGCTGAAACCACATTTGCTGTCGAACGTTCATGGATCATTTTCAAGAAGTTCTGGAAGAACCACCTCCAAGATACGCCGGTAAATAGGTCCTGTTAACCGTTCCGGTAGAAAGTATGGCCCAATGAAATAATCATCAACAATGCCTGCCCAAACGTTGACAGACCAACCTTGCTGATGTTTTCTAGGAAAAATTGCATGGCGATTTTCTTTGTCCCAAACGTGGCTATTCCTACTATTAAAAATACCGTGTCTTGTAAAAGAGGCTCCATCGGTCCATGAAACATAGCGTCAAAAATTTGGTTGTGCAGCGATTTGATGAAGAAGTCATTGAAAAATTCAACTCTAGGATGATAATCGGCTGCAGTCAATCCATGAACTTTCTGGAAGTGGTAAGGATAAAGTTGTTGCTCGTGTAGCACCCGCCAGACGGAAGCGTAACTCGAATTCATATCCTCAGCAATGTGACGTGTGCTACTTGATGGTTCGTCGGCAACTCGCTGAAAGACCTCTGCTTCAAATTCGACCGTTCTTACGGTTCGAGCAATACCAGTATCATGCATGTTGGTTTTAAACATGCCTGTCTCTGAGAACCGCCGGCGAATAGCAATAAACTTTTTGTATCCCGGATGCTGTCGTTCGGGATAACGTTCTTGATACAACCGCGCTGCTGTTCGTGCATTGCAGCTTGTTGCTCCGTATGCCAATTCTTGATTAATAAAGTTTTCCATTAGCAACAATTACTTTTTGTTAAATTCTTGCAAACTTCACAAATACGATAGCACGACTAAGGCGATATGGAATGCAGCTACAAAAAACAATCTCTGTTATCGTTTTTTAAGATAACAACAGACAAGCGCCGGATATGGGTCCCTAAACTCAAATGTTTTCTATTGTTACACTGAATAATCCCTACAAGTTCTGAAACGCCCTGTATACTGACCTTGACCTATATATTCTCCATTTGGACATGTCAATCTACTTAACGGCTTAAAACTTTTACCCACAACTTATGTGGTTATCAAAAAAACTACCTACCTCACATATAATGAGATATCAGCTTCAGAATCAACTTTAATGATATATTGTACATCTAAGCTCATGAACTTTTTCAAGACATCTTGGTGTGCTTTAGACAATACGGGTTTTCCATATTGGTTTTCCAAGAAGTAGGATGTTGGTATCACAATTGCTTTAACTGGTTCACCTACCCACCTATTCAACTCACAGGGAGCTACTAAAATAAAAAAATGGATAATGTAAATTTACATTTTAGAATCTGTCATTTTGTAAACTTTAGTACCAGCATTTCTATATCTGCAATACAGGAATTGTAGAACCATTAGTTTTGTTCCAATTACAGTTTCATTTTATTTATCCTTTAACAAAAGAAGAAACTGATGTTAGAATGAATGAGCGGGGTTTTATAAGATTACATATATTTTCCAGATTTAGACGTGCAACTCAATATCTAGTATGGATTAGATTTAAAAAAAATGATAATCACCAAGAGGAATATGAAGATTTGAAGTTAGAATAATTATTGTACATGCAAAGCAGGGGCAAGAACTTTAGGTGCTTGTGTGGATGTTACGTGTAAACTAAGGTATTTAGGATTCACTTGTCATCAAGAACTGCTCTTTTGAATACGATTTCAAAACTTGACCAATACAAGATTTACAAACAATAAAAAACTCTAGCAAAATATAGAACTAAACTGTAACTTTCTATTAAAATACGCCATACAACCACCTAAAAGCTACTTCCTTGACATAGTAATATCATAATGCTTAAATGAGGGTGTAATGTGTAATGAGGGTAAAGTTTCTTCGGTGCCAAACTTTTATTCTGGTTCAGCATTTTTAGCTGTGTTTAGCTGCAATATTCGTTGGTAGGAATAATCCAGAAAGGCACTTTGCGGTGACCCCTGCAAAAATGTAGTAAGGGAATCACATTAGACCCATTTTTTAGGTATTGATTTTTCCTCGTTACGTCTACCCCTATTTTGGATTTTTTCCCTTTCCGGGAGCTGTCCTACCAAAGTTCCTGAATGTACCTGCAGCCTCTGGGAATTATTATGCCTTGCACCTCGTGTTTACAGTGCCCAATCCAGCAGTCTAGTGTTCTCAAAGTTACTCTGTTGTGTTTCGCCAGTGTGCTCAGTTCTTGTTGACATTCCCATATCAGTGCAGATGTCACTTCTTAACGCTATGAGTGACGCATGACTGTCAGCGTATGTGGTGATCATGTTATTGTTATACGCGCGCTCATTATTTATTCTTGCACAGTGCAATATGGCATACATGAAATACAAAGATGTCTTCCAAGTGGAATATTATGCCCAGGATTGCGTCTGTTCCCATATATTTGTATACCTGCACCTGTTCCCTGCTCAGTTTTCAACACGTCAGTGTACCAGGTAATTTACCCTTGCAGGTTGTGCCTTTGGTGTTTCGTTCGATCCCCTATTTTGGTCTCGCTCTTTTTGAATACATATCTGAGAGCACATGTTTCCTTATTTGGTAATGTCCAAGGTGCTCATGTCCTTCCTCTGGCTGCCGATTTTAGGGTTGTTACCACAGCATCGAACATTATGTAGGGAGACATGTACATATGTTTATATACAGGGTGACTTCGAAGTTGAGTCATTTATTTTAACAGTGAGTAGATCTGATCAAAAGAAATGTTTTTTTCCTTTACCATTTTTCTGGTAAAATTAAAGTAACAAAGTTATAGCCCTTTGGAAGTTTGAGTACCGCCCTGTCTCAATAATATCATGTGCTCGTGTTTAGCAACAACGGCTATAATCCGCCTTATCGGTTCATCGCATCGGAAACAAAAAAGCGAAGGAATTTGGAACGATGTTTTTACAATTATGTTATTCAGTTCAGTTATACATACAGTCAGTGTCAGTCGCGTGTGAATAGTGTCTGTTGCGTGGCTCAAACGAAATAAAAAATGGCACATGTTTATGCGGATCGGTTTCCCAATCGAGTGAAACCAACCCCTCGTGCCTTTGTTAATGTAGTACAACGGGCTCGTGAATCAGATGACTTAAGACCTCACAGGGGACCTCACGATCAAATACAGGTCCGCACTGAAATACTTGTCGGGAGGATACTTTATAAAACAAGGTAAATTTTTTTTTTTACTTTTACACACATATTTTGGTTTATCTTCCTTCTACAATCATTATCTGAAAATTAATGACTCAACTTCAAAGTCACCCTGTATATATTGTTTATTGTCATTTGTACTATATCGCTAAGACGAGTTAGTTTTGGCAAAATGTTGCAGGCAGGCATAACCATTGTCCTAAGGCACCAATCTTTGATTCCCTGTATCTCAAATAAATATCATTTCTAAGAGTTGCGCCCATTGGAACATTTGATCAGCACAACATGAACGAATTTCCATTGAAATTGACTGGTGGTCAAATTCCATTGGTTTTGTGCCGGTACTTTGCCAAAAAGTGTAAAGTGTGGTTAGATTGAATGTTCTTGCAAGCTGGCGGAAATCACCATTTCCAAAGTCCCGTGGCCGTCGGGAAAACGTGTCCGTGGCAATTACAAAGTTCTCCTTGCCATCCGGTTGTGGCACTATCTTGTTGGACGAATATTCGAGGTATGCAAATTAAGTGATGAAACCGTTGAATGAGTCTGATTTTATCAATTTTTTATTTTAAAAAATTAAAAACATTTTTCGAGTTTTTTTCTTTGCCGAAGATTTCCTAAAGTCGATTTTTTTGCA